AACTAAATTTGAACCAAGAGCTAGGAAATACATTTTTTGGGGATACCCTTTTTGGGATAAAGGGATACAAACTTCTCGATTTTGAAACCAAAAGAATTTTCATCTCTAGAAATGTTGTGTTCTATGAAGACCAATTTTCTTACAAAGATTGCAATGCATCTAAAAATGGTAACATAAAATTGTCCCAACCCATTTCTACTAATATTGAAGCAGAATACCACATTCATTCTTTCCCCATTAACATTACTGATGAAGTACTGCCAGATAGAAATAAGCATGAGAATAATACCCCTACTCATGAACCAAACAACCATCCTATAGAATCACCTCATCCACCAAACTCTCCAGAACTTGTGTAAGAATTGTTTGACAACACCATAAAAAACCACCAACCAATGTGAAGATCCTCTAGAAACAAGAAATCCCCTACTTACCTTAAGGACTACATATGTCAGAAAGTCTTATTTCATTTATCACAGGAGTTGGATAAGAACAAAGCATTCCTGGTAAGTCTTTTCCTCTCAGTACTACCATATCAAACCATAGGTTGTCAAATAACCACAAAGCTTTCGTAACCTCCATAACAACACACACTGAACCTTACACATACCAAAAGGCATTAGCCTCACCTTACTGGTGCAAAGTTATGAATGATGAAATTGCTGCTCATGAGATAAATAACACTTGGGTTGTAATGGATCTTCCCCTAACAAGAAATCTATTGGCTACAAATGGGTATACAAAGTGAAGTACAAAGCTGATGGGAGTGTTGAAAGGTACAAAGCTAGGCTTGTGGTAAAGGGATACACACGGTTAGAAGGTCCAGACTACCATGGGACATTCTCACCCGTGGCTAAGATGGTAACAGTCAGGACCCTACTTGCAATTGTTGGTGTGAAAGGATGGCATTCACATCAATTTAATGTGAATAATGCATTCTTGCATGGAGATTTGGATGAAGAAACTGTACATGAATATGCCTCCTGGACATCCTAATGCGGGGAATTTAAAAGTGTGTAGGCTGCTGAAAAGTATATATGGTCTCAAACAAGTGTGAATACAATGGTACTCCAAACTCTTTCAGCTTTCATTATTGATCAATGCTTCATCCAATCGAAGGTAGATTACAACTTGTTTAGAAAGTGAGAATTCTTTCACTGCCATCCTAGTATATGTGGATGACATAATTATAACCAGCAATGATATGGACAACATTAACTCTCTTAAAGAGTTACCAGATGGGAGATTCAAGATTAAGGACTTAGGCACATCGAAATATGTTTTTGGGAATTGAAGTAGCAAGGTCAAATAAAGGGATTCATATCAGCCAACGGAAGTATGCCTTGGATATTTTATCAGACTCGGGAACAATAGGAAGTGTGCCAACAGGGATACCTTTAGATCAGAACATGAAGATGTCTAAAATGGATGGAGAAAAACTTGCTGATCCTAGTATGTATAAAAGACTTGTTGGGAGATTGTTATATCTAAAGATTACCAAACCAGATCTCTCATACTCAGTACAACTGTTAAGTCAATTCATGAGTGATCCTCGTACTTCATCTGAAGGCTGCTAACAAACTATTGAGGTACATAAAAGGAGCTCCAAGACAAGGATTGTTATTCTCTGTCAATTCAGAGTTGCAGCTCAATGCCTATTGTGATTCGGACTGAGGAGCTTGTCCAAATACACGAAAGAGTGTCACGGGGTATTGTGTGATACTTGGAAGGTCATTGATATCTTGGAAATTAAAGAAGCAAAGTACAATATCCAGGTCTTCAGCAAAATCGGAGTATAGCAATGGCAAATGCTTGTTGTGAACTCACTTGGCTTAGATATTTGTTCGAAGATCTGAGAATTGAGCATTGACAAGCTGCTATCCTATTCCGTGAGAACAAATCTACTCTTCACATAGCAGCCAATCCGATTTTCCACGAATGAACTGAACACGTTGAGTTAGATTGCCACTTGGTAAGGGATAAAATTCAGGAATGAAGTGTAATTGCTAAGCATCTCGGTAGCAAATTTCAGGTTGCATATATTTTAACAAAATCATTAAACTCGTCTCAGTTCTATCAATAAATGAACAAGATCGGTGGAATTGTTGATATCCATTCTCCATCTTGCGGTGGATATTGAAATATGAAGCACAAATTGATGAGCAACAACCTCATGGTCAGCAAGGGAAAAACCATCAGCCGAGGCATGACAATGGAGGGTAGAAACGTCCACTATAGAGGAGTCATGTTGGAGCTCACATCTTCCCTTGCTGTTGTAAATTCTGTTGTATATTTTTTCTCTTTCTACCAATTAGTTATTTTGTATAATGATTCTAGATTGTTCTTATTACTTGCATATATAACTGTGAGGATCGATGAATGTAAGCAACATAATTTCTTCATCTTCAATACAAAATGCAGCTGGCTTAAGTCCATCTTTCTTCTTCCATTAATATAGAAAGATTCATATCTGTTACGGGTTAGTAGATGTAAG